CACTGTTTACCACTGCTTAGGCCCAGGCTCTAAAGACTGCAGCTAACCTAAGGAAGATAAGCAGCTAATTATTTCTGTTTTGTGGAATGTGAAGGATTTCTGCCTGGAACAAGGGTATCTCTGAGGTTGATGGCTTTATGGTCCTGTAGGACGTTGGCCAGGTCTGTATCTAATTGTACCCAGCACTTTCCTTCACTGACAAGGCATCACCTCTGCCTGCCATGTCCTCCAGCTGGTTCCTCACAAATAAGTTAAATGTATGGTCGATGCTCACTGCATGAGAGATGTTTTTTAACTTTGAAAACTCTATTTTACAGGGGTGCAGGAATGTTCGGTTTCTTGACTTGCATCTTGAGTACACACAGAGGGGGTGACTGGGTGTTATATTTCACAGACAAAAAATAAAACTTAAAGACATAACACCGTATACACAAAATCACTGCACACGTAAACATGTAGGTAAATGAAAGCATAGCTCCTCTGCTTGAAGGCAGTGGCTCCCACAAAGGGGCCTCAGCTATGAGAGTTCCCCATCCATACAGCCATTAGAGCTCATGGCCAAAGGCCAGGATTCTGAAAGGACAAATTCCATCCCATAGCATGTGGCCCTGCCTCTCATCCCTTTAGATACCTTTAATGATGACACAATCACTCACCAGATGTATAACTTCCCAGTATCTTGCCTCAAATTTTCCCACACATTCTCCATACTAAACAATGGCCCAACTTTTTTTAAAAAAAGTTATTTATTTGAGAGAGAGAGAGAGAGAGAGAGAGAGAAACATCAACTTGTTGTTTCACTTGTATGTACCCAAAACCTCGGCGTATCCATCAATGGTCCATCCAACTGAGCTACCCAACCAGGGTGACAACGGTCTAACTCTTCAGCCAAACTTTACTCCATGTTCCTTAGCCACAAAATAGAAAGCAAACAGGCCTGCCTTTGAAGTAATAATAATGGACACGATTTATCGAATGCCAAGCACTCGACAGTTTCCTTGCGTCCACCTTTTAAGGTAGGGCCCATGCTCCCATTTTTACAGATGAGGAAACCGAGGCTCGGTGAGGCCTGCCCAGCTCTTGGATGATAGAAGCTGGGTTTCTGCTCTCACTGGCTCTTTCCACCTCACCATCTTGCCTCTCTGCAGGACGGGTGACAGACCGCACATATCGAAGCATTAACATCACCTGGGGAAAGCAGACACTCGATTTTAAAATGCTCTCACTGGCCCTGGCCGGTTTGGCTCAGTGGATAGAGCGTCGGCCTGCAGACTGAAAGGTCCTGGGTTCGATTCCGGTCAAGGGCACATGCCTGAGTTGCAGGCTCGATCCCCAGTGGGGTGCATGCAGGAGGCAGCCGATCAGCGATTCTCTCTCATCATTGATGTTTCTATCTCTCTCTCCCTCTCCCTTCCTCTCTGAAATCAATAAAAAATATATTTAAAAAATAATAATAAAATAAAGTGCTCTCACTGGTAAACCTAGTCTATTCCTCCAGGGAGGCAAAGCATCTCTTTGCAAGATGGTCTGACCTCTGGAAACAGCTAGGAGTCATTGGGTGCTGACCTGGCAACTGAGTGACAGGCTATATCCATGGATTCAAAACAAAAGGTGTGGCTCTAAACACCATCCTGCCCAAAACTCTTCTGGGTGTGGGACACAGCCAGGCTCGGCACCCTCTGATCTAGGCCTGAGGTTTTTTTCCAGACTCTTAGGTGAAGGTTCTCAAACTTCAGTGAGCACCAAAGTAGCCCAAGGACTGTGCTTAGAATGCTGGTGCCCACGCACCTCAGTAGGTAAACAGAAAATGCTGGTTCCCGAGGCCTGGCCAGCGTGCTCAGTGGTTAGAGCATCGGCCCTCAACCCAAAGGGTGTCCCGGGTTTGATTCCTGGTCAAGGGCACATACCTGGGTTGTAGGTTTAATCCCCGGCCCCTGTTGGGGTATGTTTGGGAGACAACCAATCGATGTGTCTCCTTCACATCAATGTGTGTGTTTTTTCTCTCTCTCCCTCTCAAAAAATCAATGGAAAAAATATCCTCCAGTAAGGATTTTTTTTTAATGCTGGTCCCTGGGTCCCACCCCTAGAGACACTGATTCGGGCAGCCTGGGGAGCAGGGCTGCGAGCCTGCATTTTCAATAAGCCTTCCCCAGCGATTCTAGTACAGTCGTGGGAGGCCCACATTTGACAGGCTCTAATTGCATTCACTAAGACCAAGTCTTCCATCTTTGTGGTCACAACTCACACGTCCCAGCTAAAGCTGCAAAAGCAGAACCAGGTCAGGTTCAATTCATCTCCCCACCTCAGAGCAGAGGACAATCAGCTAATTGCAGTCCTGTGGTTAATGATAAGATAGTTATCTGCTTAGGTGTGAATGTCTTGGCCACAGTGAGTTCTATTACCAGGACTCCTGGGACAGTAACACCTCCAATAACTGGTGAGTGGGGGAGGGAAGAAGAGCAGGTACCATAGTCCGGATGTGGAATATTCTGGAAGCCTTCCAGAAAGGGAGGCAGAAATGACTGGGCTTGCTTGTCATCACCCCGCCCCCGCATACACACACACACACACACACACACACACACACACACACACACATCTGGCTCAAACCCACAGGCTAGAACAACCTTCTGGCCCTTTAAATACAGTTCCTCATGTTGTGACCCAACCATAAAATTATTTTCGTTGCTACTTCATAACTGTAATGTTGCTACTGTTATGAATCATAATGTAAATATCTGATATGCAGGATGGTCTTAGGCGACCCAGGTGAAAGGGTCGTTTGACCACCAAAGGGGTCGCGACCCACAGGTTGAGAACCGCTGGGCTAGAAGCAATGAGTGAAGGTATTCGGAGATTAAGGTTATAGACAGGGGACAAGTATCAATGATAAAAGGCAAGAGTCTTCACAATGAAAAGCCAAAGAGGCTTAAGAGTCAAGATTCCAGCCCTAGCCGGTTTGGCTCAGTGGACAGAGAATTGGCCTGCAGACTGAAGGGTCCCAGGTTCAATTCCTGCCAAGGGCACATGCTTGGGTTGTGGGCTTGATCCCCAGTAGGAGACATGCAGGAGGCAGCCAACCAATGATTCTATCTCTCATCACTGATGTTTCTAACTCTTTCCCTCTCCCTTCCTCTCTGAAATCAATAAAGATATATTTAAAAAAAAAAAAAAAGAGTTAAGATTCCAGCTTTGCCCGGCCAGCATGGCTCAGCAGTCGAGCGTGTTGATCTATGAACCAGGAGTTCACGGTTCGATTCCCATTCCGGGCACATGCCCGGGTTGTGGTCTCCATCCCCAGTGTGGGGCGTGCAGGAGGCAGCCGCTCAATGATTCGCTCTCATCATTGATGCTTCTCTCTCCTTCTAACTTCCTCTCTAAAATCAATAAAAATATATTTTAAAAGAAAAGAACATAAGATAAAATTTATCGTTAAAAAAAAAAGATTGCAGCTTTATGAGCCATTCCTGCTCTTCCCCGTTATTCCTGCTCCCCCCACACCTCCCTCCAGCTTCCCCCTGGTGAGCTCTAAGCTACACCCTCTGTCCCTCTTCTTTCCCTCTGGCCAGGGCCTGACTTGAAGAGCAGGAACTGAGACAGACTTTTTGGGGGGAGGGCGTGGGATTCCAGCCCTGTGAGGCGCCTTCCCAGCCCAAGGGAAGCCCTCCTTTTCCCCAAGCCTCGAATTTCAAACTGCAGGTCAACAACCTAGTTGCGAAACCCATTCAGTGAAGTCTGCAACGAGCATCTTTACGAAATACAATAGACAATATCTGAATGCCCTCCGGTCGTAAGGACTCTTCCATGAAAGTTTCGATTCTGTTTTCCCTCTAAATAAATAAGCAGGCCGGTTTGGGTAGGGGTCACGGTGTGGAATGTATTCCAGATGGCAGTTTGCAGTCAACGTTTGAAAGCCATGGTCTTGGGCACGGCTGTTCCTCGAGGCGTGGGCCCTGGCTCCTGACAGCCACCTGAGCCACTGTTGGAGCCCAGCCAAGCTCGAAGGGCGTCCTGACAACGAGGCCGGGGAGAGGGATGGGGAGCCCAGGGGTGGATGCCGGCGGGGCCACCTGAAACCCAGGCCCCCCACAGCCTCTATCTCCAGTCCCTCGGCCCAGGGTGACACCGGGCAACGCGCCGACCCCTTCCCGTTCCAGACATGAAGACGGGCGCTTGCCCAGTTCATTTGTAGGATCTCCTGGCCCAGCGGACGGGGCACTTCCTGCAGCTCCGTGCCCAACACCCCACGCACAGGGCTGCAGCCCAGATTCCGTGCTGAGGCTCACAGCAGCGCCCCACCCCCACATGCCCACAGCCCCCCAGACAGCCTCCCACAAGCCCGAAGCCGCACAGGCTGCAGGTCTATGGCTCAGCCAAGCAGGAAACTGAGGCCTGTTCCCTGGCCACAGGTCTCGGGAGGCCCGGCCATCCACCGCCCACTCTCCACACCCAGCCTGGCCACAGCACATACTGCTGACCATCCTGCGCCCAGGGGTGCAGGGCCAGCAGGCCGTGCTGGCTGGGGTTTTTACACAGGAAGGAAGAGTGAGCCACGGTGGGGGAGGAAGCTGAGGGAGGGCGGAAATGACTGCAGTGTCAGCACCCAAAGGCAGACGGGGAGGCTGGCCCCTCCCCTCCCTGCCACCCAGTTCTGAAGTTTTGACCTTTGTGCTCAGACAAAACAGCCACTCTGGACCCTAACACCCACCAGCCAGGAAAAAACCCACGGAACTTCACAGAGAGGGGCATGACTGAGCTAAACATAGGCCTCCCTGCACCCTCCCCAACGTACCGTCCATTTCTGCTCTGTGGACAGAGGGTGAGTCTGGGGTACAAAGAAAAGGTATCTGTACCCCAAACCCTCCCCTTCCTTTCCCTCTGCTCAAGCAGCCGTCAGCAGGCCCGCCCGCGGGCCCCACGCATGTCTGCCAGCCTGGCAGGGGGGAGACGGCGAGGAAGGGGGGCGGGTGGTGTGGCCCCACAGGGGCAGGGCAGCTTACGTTACTGATCTGGTCCTGGGTCTTCTTGATCCTCTGGAGTTCGGGTGTGTCGGCCACCACGCTGAAGCCCTTGCCCTTGTTCTTCTCGAACTCCTCCTTGTAGCGCACCTGGAGGACCAGACGGGAGAGGGGCCAGAGTCAAGCCAGGGGAAGCAGAAAGGGCCCCAGCCTGTGGCCACCTGAGGTAGCAACCAGCTAGGAGGGAGATCCTGACCAGAACTCCCCCTGTAGTGACATCCACCACCCCCCAACTCAAAGCAGAAGTCTTAACCAAAAAATATTAAAATAAGGATGATAATCCATCAACACATATTCAGTGCATTCTGAGTGCCAAGTGCTTTTTACACGAACTGCCTCATTTAAATCTTACCATATACTATTATTAGCTCCATTTTTGTTGTTGTTGTTAATCCTCACCCGAGGATATTTTTTCCATTGACTTTTAGAGAGCAAAGGGAGAGAAGGAATGGGAGGGAGGGAAGGAGAGAGAGAAAGAAACATTGATGTGAGAGACACACATCAATTGGTTGCCTACCGCACACGCCCCAACCGGGGCTGGGGATGGAACCTGCAACCCAGGTACATGCCCTTGACCAGGATTTGAACCATGACCCTTCAGTGCATGCTCTAACCACTAAGAAACACTGGCCAGGGCTATTAACTCCATTTTAAGTAAGGAAACCGAGCCACAGAGACACATAGTCCATGCCCAAGGTCACACAGCTTAGCAACAAAAGTCCAGAGCCACCAAAATGCAAAGCCTCATCTGCCTGACTCCTGACCCTTCCCCGCCCACCCATCCTCCCACACAGCTATCGGAAGAAGGCTCTTCCCAGAGCTCCACAGCCTGCCCCAGCCCTCACCCTCACCAGGATGTGGCCCTGCCCGTCGAGGTCGAGAGCCCAGGGGAGTTTTTGAGTGACCAGTTAAGTGAGGGCTGTGCCAAGGGACAAAGTTGGTGCCCAGAGAGGAGGGCAGGGAGACAGCCACTCGGAAGACTCGATCAATGAGCCTTTGATGGGCTCTGGCGGCTTCCTGGAGCCGGCTTCTGGGGTCAGCGCCACAGGAAAGGATGAAGTTGTTGGGGGACAGACAGCACTTCACAACAGGGTGCCACGCCACCCCACCACTGCCCTCCTCTCTTGGGAATCCCATGGATCCTCCAAGAGAGGGACTCATGTCAGACAGCAGAAAGGACTTCCCAAACACTCAAGGGATTGAAATAATGAGGATTCTCTTGTCCTCCCCTGGGGGTTTAAAGAGCAGAATGGAGGCTGAAAATGCCCATGAGGCGGAGAACCGCTCCTTGGCTTCCAGGGACTTCCCTGTGCACCTCGGCAGCCAGCTGTCCCAAACCCCACCAGCTGCCTGGATTTCCTCCACGGGGGCTGCCCTGTCCTGGAAGGTCAGCCCAGGACATGAGGCCCAGGACCCTGGCCGTTTCCAGGATGACGAGCCCAGGCAGCTCCCGGCATGGAATCATCTGGCCACAGTGCCGAGCTGCACTGTGACCCAACCGGCCACACACATGTCTGCAGCCACGGCCACACCTGTCAGTTCCTCTGCACCCTGCCCGCCCCCCAGCTCATCCGTCCACGGACTCCTTCCTAAAAGGTTCCAGAAATTCCTTTGTTTTGCTCCAGACTGAACACAAAGGCCTGGACAGAAAAATTAACAATGATAAAGCTACCAACCCACCCAGGGGCCCAGAACTGCCCGGCCTCAGCCCATCCGGGAAGACCTGGGCCAGCGTGGTGCCTCTTAGTTGGGGTGGGGAGCGGAAACCCTCTGAGAAGCGGGCAGCAGGGCAGGTAAGGCACTTAGAGCCAGAAAAATGTAGCTCTGGATACAGAAGCCCCAAATGCAAGGCCTCTGACTTCGGTTTCCTCACCTGTAAAAGGGTTGTCATATGGGGAGGGGGCTTCCTATCCCCAAGGCAAAGTGCCAGAGGGAGCTGGCACCAGCACAGGCTCAGTCTCCATCTGCCAAGTGATCTTGGGCAAATGATGTACGTAACCTTTTGGGCCTCGGTTTACAAATCTGTGAAAGGGGACAATCATACCACCCGCCCCGATCAATGGTGCAGATGGTAGACAGTTGCTCTACAGCAGCCAACACAGTGTGGAGCACGCGGCCGGGCTCACCACGCTCTGATAAGGGCAGTTGTGAAAGTGCTTTGTCAACGCTGAAGTGCTGAACAAATGCCAGTTCCCCACTCCTTCCTCTACTTCCTGGCCTGGCAAGGGCCAGGCCCCTTAATCCAGGGAAATAATTGCCATGGCGACACTGCGGTGACATCAGCGGGTTCCCAGCGAGTTCCCCTGCTGGGGAGGGTAATTCATTCACTCCTGGCCCAGGGGGTCCCGAGAGGGCAGGGCTGGGATGGAGTCCACGCTGAGAGAAGGCAGAGGCCTGGACTCAGCACCACTTTGCTGCGTGTCCCTGGACAAGTCAGCCCCCCTCTCAAGAGACTAGTTAGCTGATTCCTAAAAGCCCTCCACGCCCTGGAATTTGTGACCATTTTTAAGTACCTGTGGCCTTAACTACGGAGAATGGAGGTGGGGAAGGTTCTCTGAAAGGCTGTTAGGTGTTGGAGTGGGTGACAGGTAAAGAGCGAGGAGCCAGGAGTGTCGGGGGCCCTGCCTGGAGCCCCTCCTCAGGGCTCCTTGTCACCCACTCAGGAGTGTTCCCCGCATCTGGGACGGCTCACCAGGATGCGACGAGGGTCTCTGGGGAGGAAAGGACCTGCCCGAGTTCACTCAGCCCAGCTGTTGGTCAGGAGACTACGTGCTGTGACTGGACGACTCTCTGCCTGGGAGGCGCCTGGGCCTCGCGTCCTGGAAACAAACCCCCAAGGCAGGGCCAGGACTGATGCCAGAGGCTCCTCAAGCCCAGACAACCACCACCGAGGCAACTCTGCTTTCTATATGAGGATGTGTTCAGTCTTCTCCCAGGGTCTACCTTGTTCATCACTATCCCCACAAACAGCAGGTACCAAGAAAGATCTGTCGAGTAAATGATGAATGAATTGAATGGAGACACAAACTTTCCAAACATGCAGCACAGTTTGGAAAAAACTGCCTTTACTGACCCAACGTAAGAGGAAAGATTGAGACTTTAAAAAATTCATTGGCTGAAACCGGTTTGGCTCAGTGGATAGAGCGTCGGCCTGCGGACTGAAGGGTCCCAGGTTCGATTCCGGTCAAGGGCATGTACCTGGGTTGCGGGCACATCTCCAGTAGGGAGTGTGCTGGAGGCAGCTGATCGATGTTTCTCTCTCATCGATATTTCTAACTCTCTATCCCTCTCCCTTCCTCTCTGTAAAAAAATCAATAAAATATATTTTTTAACAATTCATTGAAAAAATATAATACCAACAATTTTACCACTATATTTCTAATCTATCCCTCTCCCTTCCTCTCTGTAAAAAAATCAATAAAATATATTTTTTAACAATTCATTGAAAAAATATAATACCAACAATTTTACCACTTATTTTGTGCCCACTACCTGCTGGGCCCACGTACTATGTAGCCCACTCCCCTCTAACAAAAAAAGAAGTCAGGTTTGAAATCCGACACACACAGAAGGGGAGGAGACCCGATGAGAAAGGTCGGTGCTGGACGAGGGCAGCAGGTCCCTGTCTGTGCCTCGGATGCATCATGCCCAGTTCCCTTCCCTCTCCTTCCCAGCACAATAGGAATTCAAACATCTATTGAGTGCTGACTGTATACCAGAACTGTTCCCACTGCCTGCTGTATACTAACATCCTCACAGCAACCTTTGGAGAGAGACTACCTATAGGTAATCCCCATTTTTCAGGTAAGGCACTCAGGCTCGGAGACTTGAAATAACTTGCCCAGGGTCACAGTAGCTAATAGTGGGACATCCAGGATGTCACCTCTGGCTCAGGACACAGATATGCCATCTGAGGTCACTGGGTCCAACAGAAGGGAGTAGGGACCCTGCTCCAGGGCAGGCCTGGGGCTCTCCTGTCCCCCTGGGCAAGTCCTGGAGGTATGACAATGAGAGGGAAAATGAGAGACATTCTCTTTGCACTTCTGCCTGGGCTCAGGGGCTACACAGACATCCCCGGCTCAGTCCCACCCCAAAGCTGTTGCCTCCCTTCAGCCTGGGGTGGGGGTTGGGAGAGCTGCCAGTTCCCTGCCTCAGCCCAGCCGGGTCTGGACCACCCCGAGGGAAGGCTCCAGGTGCCCCAGACACCCGAAGAACCATTTGGGGAACCCATCTGGAGATGGGAAAACAAAGTTGAAATAGCACAGGCAGCTTCCTGGAGACTGAGAAGGGCTGAGGCACACGGATGCCAGCCCAGGAAAGGGCCCTGGAGAGAGCCCAGCTGATGCCCTGGGGGGGTGGGGCAGGGTAAGCAGAGGAGGCTCCCACTTCCCTTCCCGCCAGCCACAGGCGGCTAGAGCAGGCCCTGCCCCCACAGCGGCCACAGGAACAGACCTGTCACCACCCCCAGCCAGGCCAGCTCAGCCCTTCCAAGCCTCAGAGCAGCAGGCCCAGCCCCCACCTGTAGGCAACTGGGGTTTGCTGTCCCCATTTTACCAGGGGAGGCAAGCAGCCAGCTCCCACCACACAGCTGGGGGCAGGGGAGGGGCCTGCAAAGAGGGCAGGTCCTGCCTCCACCCTCTGCTACCCCAGCCCCAGCCCCAGCCCCTCAGGAGCCCAACTACAGGAGGTTAGAGCTATGCCCCCAATGCCAAGCCCTAACGCCCAGGGCTCCCGCCCGCCTCCCGCCCGCCCATCACAGCAGAAAGAGGGTGAGCTCAGGTCCCTCAGCTCCACCTGATCCCCAGCCCAGCTCTAAGCCTCTCAAATTATGTCTGTGAGACTAAAAGCTTTCACCTGAATCACCAGGGCGGTCAAAACACAGATTCCTGGGCCCCATCCAGCCCCTTGGGTGCATTCTAACAAGGCCCCAGTCCCTTCTGGTGCATCCTGCGGGTTGAGAGCATGGGGCTGGGGGCCACAGCAGGCTGCAGAACTGCTCTGAGCAAAGGGCTTGAAATCTACATCTGGGCAAGTAGCATGGCCTCTCCAAACCTCAGTGTTCCCATCTGTACAATGGGGACAGCAAGAGTCCCTCCATCAGCTGGTTGTGAGGATTAGAGGAGGTCAAGTCCTGGACCTACCGCAGAGTGATGGCCGTTCTCCTGACTGCCCCAGCCCGCCCGAGAGTCAGGAGGCCTGGAACCCGGATGACTCAGGAGGGCCTCTGGGGAGCAGGGGGTTCCCCTCAGGGATTGGATTCCAGGGACAAAAAAAGACCTGAAGCCAAGCTTTTTGTGAGACCAACAAAGGCTGGGGAATTAGTGCGGTTTGAATTTCTCCTCCTGAGAGTCTGGCCGTGTGTGTCTCCCCTGCCTCCACCTGAGGGTGTGCACACACACCCACCCCCCTGGACCGGCACCGTTCCCCGCTCCCCGCCCACACCTCTTCCTCCAGGTTCCTCGGGGCTCTGACTGCCTCTCTCCTTTTTTTTCTTTTTAATATATTGTTATTGATTTCGGAGAGGAAGGGGGAGGGAGAGAGACAGAAACATGAATGATGAGAGAGAATCCTCGGGACATGGCTACAGAGGCTGGGCTGGTAACCTCAGACCGGCCTGAGCCTAGAGAGGTGAGTTCCCTCCTTTGAGGGTGGGGGTGAGTGGGGAGGAGCTTCGGGGGCCCCATGTGAAATTTCCCAGAGCAGAAGGAGTCAGACACCGACACCCCTCCAACCCACTTTAGGGAAGTGGGGGGCAGCTCTCCCCTCCTTCGATCAAGTCAGGAAATATGAAGTAACTGGGTACAGGGTTGGGGGCGGGGAGACCCGGCAAGTGCCAGGAGGTCAGCAGCTTGGCCTTGCTGAGTAACCCCAGCGGGAAGGAGCCCTTGCCAAATGCAGGGGTTGCGACAGCCCTCCCTCCCCGCCAGGCCCCCGCACCAGCCCGCCCCTCACCTGACTCTGGAGCTCGCTCTGTTGCTTGAGGCGGAGATTTTCAGGGGTGTCAGCCACCATAGTGAAGGACTGCTTGGGGTAGTGTCTGCAGGACAGAAAAGAACAAGTGGAGGTCACTCTGGGGAAAGGGCAGGAAGCTCTGGGCTTCTCACAGACCCCTGACTCTCTCCTGGCAGCTACCTCTGACCGGCGGGCAGGTCCTGCCCCTGCCCCAGAAGCAGGACCAGTGTCCACCAGCCACAAAGAGGGAGGCAAGGGTCGCTCAGACTCAGCCTGAGCTGACCTGGGAGACACAAATGGCTTGAGTGGCTGGCGGGCCAAAGGGAGGCCATAGGGACACCCTGAGGGTGGCCGATCACCCTTGTTTGGGGATAATCCATGCCTTAGGAGTCTACCGACCAGGGAAGTCAAGGGCGTTGGGCCAGAAGGGGGCGGAGATGAGGATGGGGTCAGGACAAAGCTTTCAGCTAAAACCAGAAATGGAGGCCAACCAAGGAGAGGAAGGTCAGGAGGGATACGGAGCCAGAAATGAAGGGGAAAGGGACATGCATATCCAGGGGGGCTTCCTGGAGGAGGAGAAAAAAAGAGGAGGAAGAGGTAGTGAAAGTGCACACATCCAGAGTGATATTTCGAAGGGCCAACAAGGTCCAACCTAAGTGAGTACAGGTGAGAGATCAGCCTGATGCCAGAAAAGAGGCCACCCCCCCACCCTTGGGCGACAGATAACACTGCCACCATGGCCCATGTCTGCCCTGTGCTAAAGGCATGCATGCTTCAGTTCATCAAATTCTCACACGCACCCTACTGTCCCCCTCTGACAGATGACTGAACTGAGAAAGGTTAAAGAATGTGGCCAAGGCACAAGGCACAAGGCTGGTCTCCTGGCACCCAGACAATCTCCCTCGGGCCCAGCACCCTGAACCGAACCCTTCGGTCTCCAGGCACCTGACAGACCAGAGTCCTGTCCCCCAGAAAGAGGGCTGGCGTGGAGGGAGCAGGAGCCAGGGAAGCCCTTGCAGCTAATCTGCAGGGCCTCTCAGACCATCTGGCCCAACCCCCATTTCCCACACGCACACAGTGCACTGGCACCAAGTACTCAGCACTTAGGTGACATTATAATTGACTTATTTATCCCATCGGTTTATTGTCTTCTCTCTCCACTGCTTCTCTATGAGGTGAGGGGGTGGTTTTTTATCTCTTTTGGTCATTGACGTACCCAGGCTCCTAGAATAGTACCTGGTATCCAACAAATATTTGTTGAATAAACAAACGTCACACCAAACATTGAAGCTGGGCCGGGACTAGAACTCGGGTCTCCTACGTCCCATGAGGGCATCACCAAGTCCCCAGCACACCGGCTGAAGGGGAGGCGGTCCTGAGTCGCTGTGGTGCGTGTACACGTGCTGGAATGTGAAACCGTTGGGGATCGGCATGGGCCCCAACTATTTCAGGGAATGGCGGGTGGCTTCTCTCAGCAGAAGCTGAGATCCGGCCATTTTCAGCCCTGGGTGACCACACCCCGCCACAGCTGTGACTACCGGCAGGTCCCGGGTCAGAGGATTGTCCCCTTCCAGGCACGTTCCACCCCAGTCGGTGACACACCCTAGAGCTGGCCGTGAGCAGCCCTCCGGTCTCTGTGTCCTCACCAAACCCGCCCCACCCTGAACCAGAGCTACTGGTGAACACGTGACTTCCCTCAGTGACGAGCAGGGCTTGGAGTTTGGAGGGGGACCAAGGGGATGGGGCACAGTGCTGGACTCTGGCCCTGCCACGGGCTCGCTGGGCGGACTGGCAAGTCCCTGTTCCCTCTGGGCTCGTTTCTCCATCTTGGACCTAAGTGAGTCTAGCTGTGTCCCAACCCCTAGCCTCCCCGGCCCAGCCTGGCTCCTGCCTCCCAGGTCAGCCCAGGCCCGCAGCTGCCCCAGCAGAGGGAGGAAGGAGAGGAGACTGAAGAGTAAACACAGGTGCCTGCAGCTGGCATGGCCTGCGGATGAATGTGGGGCCACGGCTGTGGGTCCAGTCCCCGGGCTTGGCCCAGTTCCACGAAACCAGGGCCACCCACAGCTGAGGAGCGCCATTCAAAATTCCTGAGCTGTTCCAGGGAAAGGGAGGATCCACCGGGACTCTGCTCCCAGAGGCTAGGACGAGAACAGCAAGAGGGATCCAAGTCAGCTCTCTAGCAGAACTGGCTGGCCCTGAGGTCCTCAGAGGGCGAGTTTCAGAGACGACCCTCCCACCAAGGAAGAGCCATTGTGAAGGCATTGTGGGGTGGGGTGGCGGTGAGGAGAGCATCTGTAAGGACAGACTCCTGTGGCGGGGAGGAGGGGGACCTAAAGCAGGGGGACCAGGGAGACTCCGGGGGGCTCTGGCCCGCAAGTTGAAGGGTTAACCCTGAGAAGATGGCACCGGTCAGCATTTGGTGGGGAAGGGGAGCCAGCAGCCTCGGCAAAAGGCAAACCCATGTGCACGGAGGCCAGTCTGCACACCCGGGGTTTCCCATCCGCCTGAGTGGACACGGTTAAAACAGAGCGCCTGTTCCGGTGGCCCAAGGACGGCCAGACACGTGTACCTGACACGCACCCCACCCGCCGTTCCGAGGCTCCTCCACGCACCGCGTTCCTCACTCGCCATAAACGTATGGATGAGCCTAACACGGTGACACGCGTCTCCTAGACACGGAGGCCAGCAGTCCACCCAGGACAGGGCACATTACACGCCACACTCACACACTCCCCCACAAGGGTCTCAGGAGCCTGCCCCCCCCACATGCAGCAAGAACCTGTGGGTGGGGTTGGCAGGTATTTCATCCCCTCTTTGGAGTCATATGACCCCCAGATATCAGTCCTCCCAAAGCCTGAACGCTAACCCCGTCGGAAGGGAAGGGGTAACCAGCCTAGATGTGGACTCGTTTCATGTGGCAGGGAAGGGAAGGGATTTTAATCCTGCATCAGATGAACCAGATTTAAGAGGAGTGCAGAGCCTCCCATCTCTTACCCCGCCTCCTAAAACCCAACCCCAGGCCAGAGGAAGGCAGGCAGACATGCAGTTCGGGCTGTCCTCCCCCTGCTGGGTCAACCCTGTCCCCTCCCCACAGCCCCCAGCCCTGGCTTGACAACCCTGCCTTTCCCTTCCCCTGCTCACTGCGCTTCAGGTTCCCATGGCAACCTCATCCTCAGCTCCAGGCAGGAGAGCGGGGAGCGCAGACAGAGAGAGAGGGTCTGTGGGGGTGGGGAGGACACAGGCACAGCAAGGGTGTCCTCAACTGCGGAGGACCCCTGAGGACAACGCCAGGAGACTGTGTCTGCAGGATCCTTGCAGACATTTAGGCGAGGAGGACAGGTGCCAGAAATTTGTCTTTCGAGGGGTGGACACAGCAACAGCAGAGCTGCGCCCCTCCCCCGCCAGCACGACTGCCCTGGAAAGGGCTCCTTTGACCTCCTTCCAGAAACAATTGCTGGGAATTTTACCTTTTCCCTCCCTCTCCGTCCTCAGGTTGGAGCTCTGCCCACCCACTACCCTCACCCAGAGATGAATGGATGTGTGTGTCTGCCATTGTGGGCGCTGAGGCCGAAAGAGGGGCCCCCCGCCCCCAGCGGGTGACCCCACTGGCACCCCAGCCCCACCAACAGATGGGGCCCTGGTGAGGGAACAAGGGGCAGCAGGGGGAGAACTGGGCGTCCTCACCCTGGCCCGGAGCTGGGCCCAGAGCACAGCTGCTCTTTGTCCCTCCGTGGCCAGCCTCCACGCTGGTCATTCCAAGCGGTGGGCCCTCCGCAGCGTCCCTCCCCACCCTCGGTAGCAGGATTGGCTGCTCGGAGGCAGAGAGGCTGAGAGAGAGCCCAGCACAGGACAGGGAGTCTGGAGGACAGGGGACGGGATCTTGCATCCATGGGGGCAAGAACAGGGACTGGGTCCCGTGCACATTCCCTCTTGAAATCTGCCACAAGGCCACGGACTAGAAAAGTCAGTGTGATCAATGTGCCCATTTTACAGAGAAAGAAATGGAGGCTCCGTGTCCAGGAGCACTGCCCAGTGCATTCTCCCCTCCACCATCGCTACCCCGCCAGCTGAGGGCAAGCTGACATCTCTCTATCTCTCTCTCTCTCTCTCTCTCTCTCTCTCTCTCAGGGGACCCCAGTCCACCCCCAGCTCTCAGGCCTCTGGGGAGAGATGTGCTTGGCAGGGTGGGTGGAGAACAAAGGAATTCATCTTTCAAACCCAACCTGTTTCCAAGCGTGGCCACGATGAGACCCTCTGGGGTCTCAGTCACCACCAGTCAGAAGCCACCTGCTCCTTAGAACTTTTCTAAAGAGGGTGTCTGAGTCCAAACAATGACCTGCAGGGATGCAGGACAAGGGGCCTGCCCCCAGAGCGGGGTTATGTCTGAGGGCCTCTGAGCCACCGGTAAGGGCAGGGAGGATGCTGAGAAGCTGCTGGGCTCGGCTATGGGCTTCCTGGGACAGGGACCGCTTGCAGGGCAGAGCCCCACTCCCATCCTGCCATGAGCTGTTCCAGAGGCAGAGCAGACACAGACCCGCGCCCCATTCTGCACGCACCCTCGCCTCCTCCAGCCTCAGACTCATTCAAAAACCACAGCTTTTTGTTCAAAGAGGAACAAAAATACATCAACAAAAGCAACAAGGAGCCTTTGGTTTTACCAAAAGGAGGGGGGGCGAGAAACACCAGTCCCAACATCCTGCCACTGGAAGGAGCCGCTGATCCCCAGCTGGGAACACTGCCCAGGGGCGCAGGGAGGGCTCCCGTCTAACCCAGTTTCTCACCAGTCCCCCAGGCCTCAGGGCTGAAGTGGTGGGGATAGGAAGCAACAAGGAGGCATTGTCTGACCAGAGGAAGAAAACGAGCAGCCAAGAAGATCAAGGCTAGACATGAAGAAGAACTTACCGACCCTCAGGGGTTGGAGACAAACTGCAAAATCAAAGCCAGCTACTGCCCCTGATGGCAATACATAAAAAGGAATGGTTCTGCCAAGTTGGCCAAGGGTTGGAAACACTGGGCCTCAGTTTCCTCATCTATGAAATGGGAGTATGAGGAACCCTGAGCTTCCTGGGGGCCCTGACATCTCTGAGTGCAAGGATCTGGGGGTGAGAGTGAGGGGCGGGGGCTGCCTGGAGGCTGCCCCTTTGAGGATGTCTCCCTGTCCCAAACACACACCACACAAACCCTTCCCACTCCTGGCGCCAACTTGGCTCCCTAAGACATCTGATCAGTCAGAGGCAGAAAATTCTGGGGAGATGGGACAGCCCCACGCCACAGACCTGGATTTGCCTGCTACTGCCCCGCCCCCCCCAAGAGCAGCTGGGGTTTGAGAGTCTGCTAGAATCCAGAGACACTTCGAAACCCCGCACAGGCCCACCCCACTCCGAGGCCTGGTGGAAGGCGCAGGACCACAGCCCCTTGTTCCCCAGAACCAGGCACGCCTCCATCCTGCTCAGCCCCTCACCCCACAGCTCAAGGAACCTGAAGGATGGGCCCCGATATCTGCAGTCAGTGAAGAGGGGAAGGATACGATGGAGCACCCCTCCTTCTTCCCCGGCCATGTCTACTCCCCCACTTGACACCCCAAAAGC